ATAATTGCTCAAAATGAGAGCCGTTTTGTTCCATACAAAAATACAAACGATTTTCAAATTCTTCTCTCATTTTTTGGAAAGTCTCTCTCGGAATATTTCGACATGCTTCAGTTCTCCTCTGCCGCAATTCTTGCAACGAACCTGTTTTGTCTTGTAGACTATGGATTTAGTGTAACCCCACAAGGAAAAGTCTAAAGGAGTGAGATCAGGTGACCTTGGCGGCCACTCGATTAGACCCCTTCTGCCAATCCATTGCCTTGGATAATATTTATCCAACCTCCGTCTTGTGACAATAGAATTATGCGAAGGGGTTCCATGAAGGGGCTTGCTGAAAGTGTATGAGGTCTTCATTAAGAGTTATAATAAATATCTTTGTACCATTTTTTTTTCTCGCAATGGTTCATGGATACAAAAATAATTCATTCTATTGATTTTGACACGTTTTGACATTTTTGTTTTATTTTTAGGCTCTATTTTTTTCGTTCTTTTTTATGACAGTCGTTCAGCATTTTTTATACGCTTTCCAAAGAGGTATCACAAGTGGGGTATAGCTATCTTGAGGTTAGAAGTGAGGTGGTGGCACCTAGGGGTGGGTCGGGGTAGTTTTAAAAAAAACTCATTTAGCTGGGTCCCAATTTGTAACTTATGCTGAAAAAATCACTTTTCTCATTAATGTCCACCTAATTTTTCGTGTAAGGGGTAGTTTTTCAATTTCACCCTAAAAACTTTATGATCATCGTTTAGCATTTTTCATGGGCTTTCCAAAAAGGCGCCATAAGTGGGGTGTTGCCATTTAAGATTTTCAAGTGAGTAGTGGTGCCGCCTTAGGGGTAGGTCGGGGTGGTTCAAAAAATACGTCATATGTATTCCCCCTCGATATTATAGAAACGGTATTTTTTATTTTTTTGATATCTTTTTTGGTTTAAAAATTATAGCCATTGTAAGTTTTCAGTGGCCCACCCTATTTTTTATACTTATATCTAATATAATATACAACCTATAGTTTTGTAGAAATGTTTTTAAATATATGTTACTATATGAATGTATTCTACCAATACTCATAATATAAGAATTTATATATAAAATAAAATGTAAGATTGATTCCCCTCTTACCAACTAAATATTATACATTCACACAGAAAAAAATATACTTTCGCTCACTTTAAAAGTAACTGTCAAAAACAAAAAAAAATGTTAAGTAGTCTTAAAACCTTTTACAAAATAATACAGTGTGTCCCATTATTCCGTGGACATAGAAGTATTGCGTATTTTTGGAGTCAAAATAAGTTCATTGGTCACAATTTACCTCTATACAAAAATGCTTTGTTTGTCCGTTAGGGGGCATCAAACAAAAAACCATTAACAACATTTTTAAAGATGTTTTAAGAATTGATATTCCGATTTGAATGAGATTTTGGGTGCGTATGTTTTGTTAAGAGCTTTAACATTTGACTTTAAGGGTCGGGAACTAAGTACGGGAACGGTGAGAATTTCTTCCACCCCTATATAAATTGTAGAAAGACTATTTTCCAATTCTACCGATGACAGATATTTTTTCGGAAAATGGTCCTTCTAGTATTTGCTACATTTTTTATCTCTTATAAAAAAAACCACCGCGCATACTTTTTGAAGAAAAAAAATATTTTTCCGAATCTGAGTTCCAAAAAATTGTCACCTCAAGATATGTAGGCGCATAACACACATATTCTATATTAGTATCATAAATGATACTTGACAATAAGCTTTAGAAGTTTTAAATTAATTAACGTTCGGGTTTATTTTTGATTCATGCCTTCTATCGAACAAACGTGGCGCTTTTGTATAGAGGTAAATCGTGGTCAATTAACATATTTTGATTCAAAAAATAAGTGGTTATTCAAAAAATAAGTGGTTATTCTATTCAAAAAATAAGTGGTTATTCTATATTATTATATTCCAGGGAATATTGGATTCCTGTATATTTTGTAAATCTGCTTACTATGCGTTGAGGCGGTATCTTATAAAAGAGACAAAAAAAATTACTGGTCAGTAAAGTAGAAAAATATTTGTACTGAAATTTATATAGGGGGGTTAGGTTGTAGACGACTCTAACGGACAAACAAAGCACTTTTGTATGGAAATAAATTATGTCCAATGAACTTATTTTGATTCCAAAAATATGTAGTAGTTCTATCTCCACCGAATATTGGGACCCCCCCCCGTATAAATAAAAAATATATTTTCATTAAATTCATATACCTTTCCTTATTTCATTTAATGGGTTATAAAAGCTAAACATTTCTGAGCAGTTGAGTCGTTTAGGCTAGAGACGACCCTGCTCATCTAAAGATGCACCCACCGCGTCATCTATGATACGACTGCATTTCGATAGCTCCTTGCTTGAGATTGGAGGCTTTACTGATCCATGAGAGGTTATTATATAAGAAATTATTACATTCAACCAATGTGTCATGACCAATGCATGCGAAACCTGGACTTAAAACGGACATTAGAAGCAGTGACGTATATGTCTTCAAAATATTTGTTCTGAATACTGAGGTTCTGAAGAATTTTTGCTTCTTATTTCAATTTTTCATCGAAATAGTTGGAAAGTACAGATTTCTCCAAAATTTTAAAAAGCTACTTTCCACTTCGTATAAACCAGAAAATCTGTCGAATTATATCCAAATTTTTCGTAAATTCAAAAAAATATTCGTTTGTTTCGAGGACGTTTTATTTTTTTTCCATCAAAATATAGTTTAGATCGTTTTATCTATCTTTTACTATTAAATCGTGCTGTAAGGTTTCACTCAGTTGCAAGATTATCAGATATATTTTTCAATTGATCGAATTGATTTCTCAGGTTCGAGACGCTTTCAAATAGTTTTTTCAGATCTTTGGGAGAGACATAGTGCTTTCTAAAAATATTAAAATATATTATTCTGTACATTTCTAATGTTTTAATAGATTTGTCTTCATCGACTCCTGTTTTCTAATTGGATGTAAATATGATGTTCAACGCTTTCTGTACATCGACGTACCTAGATCTTAAAGCTAACAGAGCAACTTGTTTAGATCATCATTCGTAGGGTTTAATCTTTTTAATGTTCTTTATCTAGATCCAGGTTTTAAATATTAGGTTTTTACATAAAGGTTTAGGAACAATAGGTTAGGAACAATAGGTAAGGAACAATAGGTTTTTAGACAAATTTGTTCCACAAAATCAATAGAGTTGCTTATTTAAGAGACACTTCGTGAATTGCCATTTGCGACCAAATTGAGATTTTTAGCAGCACGATTTATTTTGTGTGGTAAGAAAGGATATGAAGAAAAATAAAGTTTCATCATCCAATTAGTAATGTTCATCAATCAGAATAATGAGAAAATAAACATATGTGTAGTTGTAACAAATTTCTAATCTTTGGTTATAGTTTGTAATATGAAGAACACAAACTCTGCAATTTGATTCTGTAAGGCATGCAATACCCTCGCGGGCCCCCTACGGACCCGGGCCTGTGTTCCGTCGAACACGTTTGAACACTGATAGTTACGTCACTAAGTGATCATAAGGAAACTGCAGGTCGCACAACACTCAATGGAACGAAATATGCTGGGAATAACCAAGAGAGACCGTAAAAGAATAGAGTGGATACGACAAAAGACCAAGTTAATAGATGTCATTCACAAAGTTAAATCCCTCAAATGCCAATGGGCAGGACACATTACAGCATGGTGCCCATGAGGAATTAAGAGACCTAGAAGACCGAACCTGAGATGGGACCATGATATTACGAAATTAGCAGGGATAACTTGGGCCCGCATAGCCAATAATAGACAAAAATGGGCCCAACTACAAAGATAATTTCTATATATGTTAGGAAGGCTACACCATAATTGGAAATGGTTGATTAAGCTGAAAATGATGATGGTGATATGTGAAAAAATAAAGGTCTGTTTTTCTACTTCATGCATGCTTTTAAACTGGCTACGGAAAACAAGAAGGTCACATGCTTACTAATGCATACTTGTAGACATACCTATACTTGGCTCAAGAAATTTTGTTTTTTATACAGTAGCACACGATTTTGGTGTAGTTAAAACTGATAAATATAATTATAAATAAAGGCAATAGAAGTCCAAAACGAATCTTTAATTAGTTATTATTATAAAATAATAAGATCTTTATACTTTCAAACAAGTGTTATTTTTTTCATTTTCTTGTCATTATGACTTGTCTGCTATCACATGGCTATCACTCATTTAGACCCACGGCTTCTATTTGAAAGTGAAATTTCGCAGTGTAAAAAATAATCGCGAAATATTCAGTACAGTTTGACACTAATTAATACAAAATTAATTAATATGCGTAAGAATATGAGATACAAATTTAATGAAAGTTTGTTCTGTTAATTAAAGTACGGTCATTATTAACATATTTTGAAAGAAAATGCTATCATTAATATAAGACATAGACAATCCGAGAGGTCATTACGATAATCTTAAAAATATATATAATAATCTAAAATTTTAAAATAATACTAACTATTAAATAACAACTACAGAATAGCATAATATCGCAAAAGTATTTTTAGCTCCTTAATTTTTATAATATACGGCTCTAGAATAGAATCCTGAACCACACCTTATTATTCATCTTAATATTCAAATTCGAGTCTTTTAACAGTCTGCGTGTCACCAGCCGCCGTTTGCCAATTCACATACCCAATGTAAAATATATCAAGTTGTGCGGCTGGTACTTAATAAACCGTTGTTGCACCTTGCTACTCCCAAGGCGTGCAAATATATCAACTCTATATGAACTACTATAAATTATTATTTTAGGATGTAAAGCAACAAAAATAAGTTCTGACAATGAGAGTATTATTACGCAGATCATACAATTTGATGATTATTTATCAATAATCCCTAATATATTTAAAAATAATTAAATTTAATAATTAAATAAAAATTTAAATAAAAAAATACATTTAAATAAAACCGCTGTTTAATTTTGCACTTACCTGAAATAAACTAGCTGTTAGGTCTTCTAGTTCAGCTTCAACATCTTGTCGTATCCTATTGACTCTCGCAAGTTCTTCATCTTTCAATTTTAATTGCCTTGTGGCCTGTTTCAGTTCTTCCTATAATATAAACAATTACTAAATATTAGTAGCATTAGCAGCATATTCAGCACAATCAATGTCGAAAATGAAAAGAGAAAAAGATTTGAAAAATTCCAAAACAAAATTTCAAAAATATGTGAGCGGACCAATGACTAAAGAATATAAGGACATGTAACTCCCCTATACGGGCTGCAGCAGAATTTGTGACCTTAGAGACCTTTATTTTGGTGGCAAACAATGAGTCACCATTTGGTCACCAGCGACAATTTTAGCGATTTTTAATAGTTTGTGTGTAGTAAACTTTGTATAAACTTTATTACAATGGTGATTAGTTATTCAGCTTTCAAGTGTAAAAGCAGCAGCGATAAGAAAGAGCCAGGAGTTACGTTTTTTATGTAAATAAACAGTCCACTCCAACTTTTTAGCGTTTTCATATTGAATTCGATAATTATTCTTCAATTTCAATTAACATCTATATGTACTTGATATGTGCTATACGGCGATACTAGTTTTGTACCTTTTGTTAACATTTTAATACGTTTTTTTCGTAATTAATTAGGATGATACACCATAGGCGTAGTCAAAACAATTATCAAAAAATATAAATATTGCTTCAAACAGCTAGGTTAAGAAAAATATGTGCTACGGCTACGGCACTGTTTGGTGACATCGTCATAATTTGCTCTCGGGTGTTATTTGTCTTTGGATTCTTTAGTCATTGGAGCGGATTAAGTATTAGTGAATTACTTCAGTATTTAACCTTTTAATGTATTTACTTACTTGTAGTCCTACTAAAATTTGATCCTTGCAAGGCACCACAGATCCAGACCAATCCACCTGATCGCTACCGCTAGCACCACTTTTACTATCACTGTCATCCTTCAAATCGAAAGACGAAATTACTTCGAGATCGCATTTTTCTAGATCTAAATCGCTATACATTGAACTATCCGAGCTGAAATAAAAAGTATAGAATTACTTCTTAACAAAACACGATACAACAAACAATATAATTTTTTTTGGAACCCAGCTAGCAATTAATATTGCAACTAACTATTTATATGAAAAAAATACAGGAATGGTAATTTCAGACCTTTTTCAGACTGGTAATTTCAGACGTGATTTGTACGTATCTGCAAAAAAAAGCTCTGCTTTTTTTCGAAGAAGAAAATAAGAAATTATCATTTGTAAATTTTGTCTCCGCTTTTACACATACTGACAAGCATAAAATAATAAAGATTGTTACATTATATGAGGCGTCAAGTTTCAAAATCTGCCTTATCCCAAAACCGTTGTTTCGAGATAATAAGCAAAAACTGTTTTAGCACATTAGGGATCGGTAAGCAATTTCTTGTCTTGTCTTGAAATATTTTCAAGAATTAAAAAAAATCTTGTCTTGATCATTTCTTGTCTTGATTCAAGAAATCTTGAATTTTCTTGATATCTTGACAAAAGGAGAACCCCCGTTTAAAATTCGTTTATTAAAGGGGAACCCCCTGTTTAAAAGTCGCGGTGTGATTGGTTAATGCGATGTTTATGTTTTATGCGTAAAATCTAGGGTCAGGAATCTAATTTTCAAAAAATTCAAAAACTTTGGGCTCATACTACAGTAGCCAAAATCATCAGATTTACATAATTTTGTTAATTATTATTATTATTATCTAACATCAAAATGAGTGATTGTGATGGTTCGTTCAGCAGAAAATTTGAGCTATTCGTAATTGAATCGTTCAGAATACCTACCACCTTAGACACCTGGGCGTAGAAGTTTAGTTAGATAATTAGTGACCTTGATAGTAGTGACGGTGATAATACTACTACAGATAAAAACAGTAAAAACAATAATGATAAAAACTGCTCTATTACTTCAGTGGCATTAGTTCAGATTTTAGATTCAGTACATTAAAATGTATTATTTTTTTTTATTTTAAAAGTTTTACGTTAATTCAAAAAGTCTGTATGCCACTGAAATAGACCCGCTTTGCAAAGTTTTTATTATTCTAATATCGTAGGCCATAACAACATATTCAAAAAATTATAAAAAAAACATTTAAAAATTCAAAAATTATATTAGGCATTAAAAAAGGTTTCAATTTAATTTGGCCCACAGTATGCCAACTTTGGACATCCAACTTTGGACGTACTTATGTCAACTTTGAACATCCGACAAAGTGCTGCTTCGTACAAATATTTTTTTGCTTAATATTTTTTTTATCCATCAATTAATGGATATTCATATAATATACAAATACATAAGTAAATGAGTATTTCTTTTTTATTTTATATTTTCATGAAATTTCAAGATTTTCTTGATTTCTTGTCAAGAAATCTTGATCTTGAGAAGTAATTTCTTGTCTTGTCTTGAAAACCAAAAATCATTTCTTGTCTTGATCTTGTTTTGAAATCAAGACAAGATCAAAAAGTTGTCAAGAAAATGACGACCCCTATAGCAAATGTTTGAAGCGTTATTTTACAAAAAAACGTGTCCATTAAGTGGAACCATCGTTTTGTATCTGGTTTTGTAGAAATAAAAATTAACATTTAATTTTTAAAGAGAAAAAAACGGATAAACACAAAAATAATTTGGATAAGGCCGGTTTTGTTGCAGTATGATGCATATACTACAGCATAAAGCTCCGCGCGCACTGAATCGGTACCAGTCCGGCGAGAAACGGCGAAGGCGGTGACTCGACTATCGTAGATAGATAGAGGTAGGAATCTGGCCTCTACAGGCCGAAATGTTTTAGTGGACGCCGGCGCCGTCTATATGTACGATGGTCGCAGTCGCTTTTGCTGGTCGGTCCGATCCGATGCAGTGCGCGCCCTTCTTAACCCGTCTTATCCGAATTATTTCAGTGCGTTTTCTCTTTAAAAATTAAATATAAATTTTTATTTCTACAACAACCAGATACAAAACAATGATTCCACTTAATGGATACGTTTTTTGTGTGCGTTTTGTTTTGCCGGTTTTGCTACAGCAAGATATTTGCTTCTCTACTTGGAATTATTAAGTATGCTATTTTATTAAAATTAGGTAAGGATTTGAAATTGATAAGACATCAGTAGTAATACTATATTTGTGTAAAAAGTTTATGAAAAAATGCGAGATTTGCAACAATAATGAGAATAAAAAACAAATAAAAATGGATAAGACGGATTTTGTTGCAGTAACCAGTAACGCAATTTGCAGTGAATTTTATATAATGGGACTTTTTTTAATTTTTATTATCTGTATTTAAAATACATATCTAACGACATTACTTTTCTTTTAAACACAAAACAAAAAAGATTTTTTTTTAATTTACTAAACTAATTTCTACATTGTTATTTCGAGCTCGATCAAACAGTGACTGCTTAATAAAATACCAATGAACTGAAAATTCCAGAACCTTCCTTTCAACAGATTTTTTCCCATATAATGATATTTACTTCTTGTAATGCTTTTTTCGCAAACCAACAAACCATCCACGGTCACGAACTATCAAAATATATTCATTTTTAATTTATTTTACACTATTAAGGCTAAAAATCAACTTTTGAAACTTATGGTAGAAATACTTAAACAATCTTATTTTATTGTTGTGAAACGTTGATAAAAAGGGCTGATGCTGCTTTGATGCGTAGCTATAGGGGGTATATACGAGTACAGGGTATCCCAGGCTGAGCGTGCATTAGAAGTTTCTAGAAAACCACAATATCTAGATCGGAGATTTCTTGCACATCATTGTTGTACAACGAGATCTATCGATTAAAATTATTTTCAATATGACGGCACTTCTGGAAATACCGGAAGTTGACAGCAACTTTCTTATTTTAAGTGGGTGCCCCATTTTTTATTACATACTTCAATTCTCTGTAAAATTCCATGAATATTGATGTAAACACTCTATATCTAACATTAACCGTTTTTGAGAAAAAAAAATTATTTAAAATTTTTGGACGAAAAAAACTACCTGTCAAAAAAATTTGTATAGCCTAAAAGCCAACTTTAGTGATTACCACAGCCACTTTGGCATAAAGAGAAAACATGTGTCTATCTATTTCAAAAATTAAATTGTTCAAGTGTCATATAATAATGACGGTAGCTGTCAAGGAATTCAGTGATTAAAAAATTAACATAAATCATTTTTTTCAAATGGAAACCAACTTTTTTTATTTCACTAATAAAACGGTTTTTCAATTCGTTACTTTATACTATACATGTTCCTATACCCAAAAATAAATCGTTTTTAAGTTATTTAAAATTGAGTTTGAAAACCTATATTTTTCTTGATTTTGTCTAGCTTCCTTTGACATTAAGTGTCAAAGGGTCAGACAATTTATTTCTATCTGTCAGGAAACGAATTGTTTGAATTTCCTATAGTATAAATACTGCCTGCTTATAAGATTTTAAAAAGTATACTTATAAAAACATATATCTCGTATTTTTGCTCTTTAGTGATATGTGGTGATATCTAATAGTTGATATTATAAAAAATTAATTTTCCGTATGATCGAAAAAAAAACAGCGTAAAGTTGGCTCGAAAATGATGCTGCTTTTTGAACAAAGCAACACAATATGACAGCCTGATCTATTGTTTTACATCACACATCACTTGACGTTTAAAGTCATAGGCTACTGGTTAAAATCAATTAAAATATACGCTTTAAAACTAAATCTTAAATAACTCAAAGACGATTTATTTTAGGTATAGAAACATGTATAGTTAAAGAGTAACGAATTGAAAGGCCTTTTCAATAGTGAAATAAAAAAAGGGGATTTCCATTTGAAAAAATAATTTATGATAATTTTTTAATCGCTCAATTCTATGGCAGCTGCTGCCATTATTATATGACATTCGAACAATTTAATTTTTAAAATAGATAGCCACATATTTTCTCTTTATGGCACAGTGGCTGTGGTAATCATTAAATTTGAAGTTTAGGCTATGCACATATTTTTGACAGGCAGTTTTTTTCGTTCAAAATTTTTAAATATTTTTTTTCTCAAAAACGGTTAATGTTAGATATAGAGTGGTTTATATCAAAATTTATAAAATTCTACAGGGAATTTAAGAAAATAATAAAAAATGGGGGCACCCATTTAAAATAAGAAAGTTGCTGTCAACTTCCGGTATTTCCAGAAGTGCCGCCATATTGAAAATATTTTTAATCGATAGATCTCATTGTGAAACTATGATGTGCAAAAAATCTCCGAGCTAGATGTTGTAGTTCTCTAGAAACTTCTAATGCACGCTCAGCCTGGGACACCCTGTATATAGAGTGTTAAAGTATTAAAACTAACATTCTTTTCTCTTGTTTGGAAATTGTGCAGGCGGTTTAATAGAGATTAAAATTTGTGTCTTGATATTTTGTCGAATTCAATCTCCTTGATGAGATTTTGTTTTGAAAAAATCTAATTTAGTACTAAATGTTATCACTGATGCTCAGTGCTATCTAACGGGTGCGTCTCAATAGTGGCTCACCTCTATTGATATTATTGTTATAAATAACTTTTTTTTATTTTTTCAGATAAAAAAACGAGATTTGGTATATTAGTACATATATGACATAAACTAGGAGTGATTGACGTATTCAATTGTTTTTGGCCCCTTCCTGTTTCACCGGAAATGACAACAACTTTTCATTTTGAAATAGCACCTCAGAATTTTTTTACTTAATTCCATAAGGAATGACAGCATAAGTAGAAGTAAGTAAAGTAGTTTCTTATATGGTTTATTTGAAATTGTAACATGTGGATCGACAATTTGACTCGAAATACCAAGTATGTGGTAACAAATTATTCTTAAAAAAAAATGGTATTTCCAAATATGCTAATGAGCCACCCTCGTTCCATTTGAAAAAATTGAGATATGATTAAAAATACGATTCGGGGATCTTTTAACCGGCCAGGACCAAACACGAGAAACACTATATGTTCAAATCTATTTTTCGAGGCATCTTGATTAAAAATTAGTGTTTCAGCCATGGCACTCTAGATTGAAATTTAAAAAATTATTTTTTTCAAAGCGAAAATGTCAATAGTTAACATGTGATATGTCATTTCAATTCAGAGTGATATTTTCTATCGCATAAAGTAAAAAAATTCCGAGGGTGCTGTCTAAAAATCAAAAGTTGTAGTCATTTCCGGTGAAACAGGAAGTGACCAAAAACAATTGAATGCGTCAATCAATTCTACTTTATGTCTTATACTAACATAGCAAATTTTTAATAAATTGTTTTTTATCTGAAAAATAAAAAAGTTCACTCAAGTCACTGTGTGTGTGATACAGACTCATAGTGGTTCACCCTAGAGCTACTTTTGAGACTTTAGGGGTATAGTAAATAAAAAAAATAATGCTATTTAAGATAATTATTACAAAAAATCTATTTTTTAAAAGTTTCTTATAAGAACCTGTTTTCATATATTTTGATGAGGAATCAGTACTTATTTAACACTTTAGCCAGTTAATGACATTAATCATTTTTAAAAGTTACTATTTGACTTGGATTAAGGCAAATTAATGAAATTTCGTTTATCTTGTCAAGTCTTATCGGCATTAAACGGCGGTCTAGTGGCGCACATGTTATTTTATAGAAAATATTCCAATGATAACCTATATGCACATCTCCGTTGAATATGTAGACACTTTTTTAGCGTTGAAATATGTCTCACTTATAGTAACTTTTACCTTCAAAATAGCATTCGAAACGCTAGAAGCAATTGGAGAAAATTGTAATAAATCGAAATGATAAAGACTTGCAGCTACGAACAAGACTTGTAACGCCCTGTTGCTATGAAGCGAAGCAGAATCGGACTAATGTTGATATAAAAATTAATCTTATTTTTACGTGAGGACCTCCCTACGGGATATGTTTTTGAAGCATCGTGTACCAGTGACGGATACAGGAGAGGGGTCTATGGGACTCTGTACCCCAAAAAAATATCCTTGTATCCGCCCCTGAGTTATACAATGAATAATTCTTCCGTTAGTTAATAAAAGCCCATTTAACTTTGCCTTTAAAAATAGGTCAAAGCGACGACAGTAATATTTACACTCAGGATAAATATTATTGATTAGTATACAGCATAGAGTTTTAGTAAGTTCATAATAAACGCTTAGTCTCAATACAGTCACAATATTTTCTAAAATAGTATATAGAATTTATTATTTATTATTTCAACTACAGAAAACCATTTTATAAATGCATTTTAATTGATATTTTTGGAGTAAAAAGTAGTATCTTTACATTATTCCAAAAATTAGGTCATCAAAACTCATAATTTTCTGTTAGTAATTGAACATCCGGTTAAATCGGTAGCTATCTTTAAATATAATATTTTGTTGCATATTATCTATTTTTGGAGTAAAGCTCCTTTACACGCAATGGGAATAAAAATTCAAGGCGAATTCAAGGCCCATTATCAATGGCGAAAAAATCGTCCAATTTAATGAGTCATTGGAGCGTCGTAACGCGGGTCCTATGTGAGTTAAGGGGCTGAAACTCGGAATGTAGCTATTCGAGAGGCATTTTTTCATGATATTTTGATGACGTTTTGTGTGTCAAGAAACCCCATCATCATGGAATCAAATTAAATAATTGTCCGAGTTAAATGAAATTTGGTATGTCGACAGATTTAGGGTTTCATCGAGATGAGAAATCTCGTCCCGAAGGTGTCGAGACGGGTCTCGATCATCGAGACGAGATATTAAAAAACTCTCGTCTCGATGTTTTTCTCAAAGTCAATTTCTCGATCTCGATTCGAGAGTCTCGAAAATAAATAACTGATTTATTATTATTAAAAAATTGGTGCCGGGCGGCACGTATAGCCGCACATACTAAAATATGTTAATAAAAAGTTGGTAGGCAGTTCTTTTAGTTTCAAAGTAAAGGAATTTTTTTCAATTTTTTTTATCTCAAAAACTGCGACTTTGACTGATTTTGATGTCATTACAAATTTTGTTGCAAATATTATTCCTAATCTTAAATTGAAAACCGCGTTTCGCTAGCGAGCATGAGATCGAGAAATCTCTAAAAAATTTCTCGATCTCGAAAAATCTCGAAGTCATTTCCTCGATCTCGACTCGAAAAAAAATTCTGTCTCGAAAAAAAATTCTCAGTCAGTCTCGTCTCGAAATCGAGACGAAACGAGACGAGAAATCTCGAATTTCGAGAATCTCGTGAAACCCTAGACAGTTTGGACCAATGCCAACTTGGTGTACGGAACGTGTCATGACAGTTAGTTTTGACTGAGGGGTATCTCACTTGGGTAAAAAATGTACATGTATTGCCAAAATATCATCTTTCTATCAAGCGACTGCCAATCACAGCCAAGAAGACTGCCTGTGACTGCCATGTAATTATTATAGGTGAATGCCGTAAGACTGCCAATGACTGCCAGCGACTGTCAAGAAAATGTACATGTAATTCCAGTAGTGAGACACCCCTCGGTTTTGACGTAAGAAACGTCAAAAGTTGATGTTGTCCGATTGCTACGAAATTTGATGTGTAGGCGACGGTCCCACCTGGAAAAGTTGGATACGACGTTTCGTTTACATCTTCATCAAGGCGAGACTCAGGATTTGATATTGAAGAAAAATGTGGGTCGATTTCGGCATAATTGGGCACGGGCTACAGGATGACGTCCTCGACTTTTCGAACCGATGCCTTTAAATGGACGAAATCATCAGGATTTTCATTAATTGTGGGTCGATTGGAACCAAAATCTCCCCCGAATAGAACCCGATTGGAATCGTCAGACAGACAGAGCGAAAGACGAAAGTAAGAAAAAGTTTCACTTCAAATATGCGCACATAGGGCAAACATAATTACTTTTTATAAATTCGCATAGAATTAAGAATCTCTCTTAAACGATAACATATGTATGTTAGTTCCAGTTTTCATATTGTCAGCTGAGTCCAATATGGTGGAATTTTGAAGATACCAATAGCGAATCAAACATCCATTGAAAAATTATCCAATCTCAAGAATCAAATACATGAAATTATCAAAAGCAATCAAATCTATGTTAATGAATAGTTTTCAGTGTTATAAATAACTACCGTGTTTCTGAAAAGTGGCTCATCCCTATAACATTTCTTTATTATTTTTTTTTTCTTATAAAAAACGAGATTCGGCATGTTACTTTGTGTTGACATAAATTAGGATTGATTGACGTATTCAATTGTTTTCAGTCACTTCCTTTTTCACTGGAAATGACTACAACTTTTGATTTTTAAATGGCATCTTCGTTATTTCTTTACCTTGTTCGATAGTAAATGACACTCTGAATAGAATGACACATCATATGTCACCTTTTAGCATTTTCGCTAAAAAACAATAGTATTTTAAATTTCAATCCAGAGTGCCATGGCTGTGTTACAAACACTAATTTTTAATCAAGGGGCCTTGGAAAAATATATTTGATCGTCTCACATAACATTTTTCGTGACTTGTCCTGGCCGGTAATAAGATGCCCAAATCGTATTTTTAAATATATCACAATTTTTTCAAATGGAAAGAGAGTGGCTGGAGGCTTTTTTACGAATAATTTGGTACTACACACTTGGCATTTCCATTCAAATTGATGTTATTAGCCCGGTGTTACAAATTCAAACAAATCATATGCGAAAAGGCCAAAAGTTGACATATGATATGTCATTCTATTCAGAGTGTCATTTTCTATCGAATAAAGTAAGAAATAGAGAGGTTGTCATTTAAAAATCAAAAATTTCATCAAAACATTTCCGGTGAAACAGGATGTGACTGAAACCCTGATTTATGTTATATACTAACGTAGGGGTGAGCCGCTTTTGAGAAACACCCGGTATATCTACCTATTTCTGTCGTTTATGCCAAAGCCCCTGACTTTATCGGATATTTCCCTATCTTGAAATAACTTTCTAGTTACATGGTCCCTGATGGTAATGTCCGGCTCGATTTCCACATTGTCCTCTTCATCGGACGAATACGATTCATCGCCAGTAGTACCCGTTGATCCCACTCGCTTGTGCTGATTGCTCTTGGTATTCAACTTCAAACCGGATGACATTGTTGTCGGATGATATTTCGCGTTATCTGAAAAAGAAAAATTACAATTAACCGTGTTCTTACGTAAGCCACCTCTCTCACGTACTGGTAAAGGCGGTCCCACACATTCGGATAATTTTTACAAATAATTCGGTATCTGGCATACGGGTGGACTAATATGCCTATTGGTAGTTTAGTGACAAATATTTGCACAAAAACATATATCTGGTAAATAGAAATATTCCCACTTAAAGTCGGTAAATAACCACAAAACAAAGGCGCAAATATTTGCAAAACTTTGTCTATTCAAAGAAATAAATAAATGCCTTTATTGTCAAAAATTTTTACAATTTGTAGACCAAGGTAAAGTAAACTGTTAGCGGCACGCCAATTAATAGGGCCATATCTCTTAAGTATGTTATTTCTGTGAAATAGTCTGGGCATACTAGTGCTGGCTGACATTTCAGTTTCAAATTGTCTGGGTGTAGTATTGCTTTCTGACTTGCTATTTGTTTGAAATAGTCTAGGCATAATAATAGACTAGTGCTGGCTGACATTTCATTAGTTTGGAATTGTCTGGGTGTAGTATTGCTTTCTGACTTATTAATTGCGAAGTAGTCTGGGCATACTAGTGCTGGCTGGCATTTCATTTGTTTGAAATTGTCTGGGTGTAGTATTGCTTTCTGATTTGTTATTTGTGAAGTAGTCTGGGCATCATTTTATGTATTTGAAACTGCCTAGATGTATTATTGCTAGCTAACGTAATTTCGTAAATTAGTCGTGAGTAGTATTGCTGACTGACCTTTCATTTGTTTGAAAGTGCCTGTTTGTACTATTGCTTACTGATTTGTGAATTTGTGTGAGTACAGTTTTGCTGTCTGACATTTCACTTACAAAAATTGTCTGGCTGTATTATTGGTTTTTGATTTTAAATTATTTTAATTTGTTCGAGCAGAGTACTGTTTACAGATATTTTAAGTTCTATATCTGTTTTTGAATAATACTGTTATGTGTTTTGATTCTTTATTTTCATTCTATACATATAATGATAGAGGTTTGAAACTATCTGAGTATATTTGTAGTCAGAATATGGTCGAGCTGATTGGGCCGAGAACGTCCCATTGTCAGGTTGGCCGTGTTAGCGGCACGCCAATGAATAGGGCCATATCTCTTAAGTATGTTATGTGTATAAACAAGTCCAAGTGGTGGTCTGGCGCAACCCTCAGGCTCTGAGAGGGTACCTGCGGTACGGTAACGACCCTTGTGACTCTTTACATAAACATAATAATTATTTCATAAATTGACAGATTAGTAATAATATAATCTAATATCTAACATAAACAAACAAACAAAAGAGAATACCAAACAAGTATACAAATTACATTGTCAGTCTTATTGTTTAAAATAAACATTTATAAATGTTTACAATGTCAAAGAATAAAAAAAATTAAAATAATAATAAGATTCAAAAATATTTTGAAAGTTTACAGAAAATATTATAGTAATAGCAAATATTAGACCAGTGTTTACAAGATCAAATTCGATTATCAAAACATAAGTCATTTACGGAGTAGAAAACCTTGTCAAAGTTTACAGGCCTTGTCTAGTAAATAAGATTTCAATGCTTTGCGAAATGAAGAAAATGATGTTATGGATTTGATTTCAAATGGCAGGCATTTTTTTCGAGTTGTATAATATTGAACTTTTAACTAACTCTGAGCGTGGGGTAGGTAGATAAAGATCTTGCTCCGCGTTCCTGAGTGGATAAGTGTGAAATGGTTTTTCTTGAAATACATGCTTACGTATTAGGCAAACGGATTCAAATATAAATAAGGAAGGATGAGTTAATATTTTTATTTTTTTTAAAAAAGGCCTGGCAATGTGTTCTGCTGTGAATATCGAACTGCTCTCTTCTGGAGCTTGAAAATGCGGTCAAATTGAGTCGCACAACACGCACCCCAGAATGGAGGGGCATATCTGAGGTGCGACTCAAAAAGTGCATAATAAATAGTTCTAGCCACCGACAAGTTAAGCTCCTTAGAAACAGATCTTAATGCAAAACAGACAGATCTTAATTTTTTCGACAAAGCGTCGATATGCATGTCCCATTTTAGAGAATTGTCTACAACAAGCCCTAGAATTTTACAGATTTTACGACGTCAATGGCGGTGTTGTTAAGTACAAAAGGCTGCAGCGAGTTCTTATACGACAAAGCTTTAGTTTTAGAAATGTTGAGACTCAGGAGGTTCGAATCGCATTAAGATTTAATGGTGATTAAGTCATTTGATATAATCCCATGAAGTGCCGTGACGTCCTTGTTGCTCCAAGTGAAGCTAGTGTCGTCCGCAAAAAAACATATTTTACCACTGATGTTTATGTTAGCAATGTCGTTAATAAAACAAAGAAACAAAATAGGGCCTAGTACTGAGCCTTGAGGTACTGCACATTCTATTGGCAGATTCGAAAACATTTTTAAAGTTAGCCCGTCGGTCCCAGATGAGGATTTATTTTTGATGGTATGGATTGTACTGCGAAGCTCTTTTAAAACTACGGGCGTAAAAAAGAAACTGTGTAAGTTTACATTATCATTAGAGATATATGAAAGTGGATCGAGAGAAGGACATATGATATTAGTTAAATTTTTGGCTACATTTACAAAGTAACCGTTAAGGTTCTCATGTGAGGTAGAGATATTGCTAGACGAATAAGCTTTGTTTCTCAAATCATTCACAATAGGCCATGTTTCTTTAGCAATATTACCAGAAAAAAGAGGAAAAGACCTGGCACAAAAAGAGGAGCGAAGTCTCTGATGCTTAGAACATATATACACAAATATATTGAATTAACCATCGATTGTTTTATCATAGACCTTAAGAAAACGCAAGAATCTCAGTTCTCTTAATCGTTTCTTTGCAGGATATTATTTCTTCACGTAGTGTCCTTCTTCATTACTGAGACTCCACTTTTCTTAGCAGAATTTTAAAATTTTCTGCAGACATTCCCCAATTTTTTTAAACAACCAGAAGCCTCTTTTACCAAATCAGCAAGAAGGTTTGTGGCATTATATCTAAAAAATTGTATTTTATTTGAAGATCTGTTCTATGAAAAGCTTTTAACAGCCGTACATCTGATTTTCGTGCAAATTTTCTGTTTAAAGCTTGCCAGGCCAAGGAGACCATCAACAAAACTCACCTTTTTAACAGCACTTAAGGGACATTAAATTATTCTTATAAAGTTGCAATGAGTTTTTTACGGCTATTAAGCTATCTTGTACACTAAACGAGATTCTAAAAAGAACAATTTTCGACTGCACGTCTGCTAGTGAACATTTTCAAGCTTATATCAAGCGTATCACAACATTATTTATTTAAACCAAAAACTCGTAATACAAAAATAAAGTGTCAGAACGAATGACAATGTTAGTAACTTGGCATTTTCTTACAGCAGAGCTACTTATCTTGGAAATTTGTCTTATTTTTGAATGTCTTATTTTGGAAATTTTTGGCGATCCCCATCGCACATTTAGCGATACCTAGAGGGTCGCAGCTTATACTCAGAGACAAACTGATTTAAAGAAATAAACCAATCATACACCGTATGGAATTCGATTCCAGTACTCTCGATCAGGAGTGATACACACTTGCCGCTAAGCCACGGCCGGCACTGCGTCACCTTTACCCGCAATTAATGAAAACAGTACCGTAGAAATTGTAACTGTTTTTGCTATAATGTACTGCTATTATAGCGTTAAATACATATTTTCACATGCGACAAAGGGTTAAAAGGTTAAAAAAGTGTGCGGTATTATTGTTAGTAGTTATGTATTATGCTGGTAAGTTTTATGAGAGATTTTCATACAATGCATAATTAATATTCTAATTTTGTTAGGTATAAAACTGTATTATACAGGGTGATCCGAATTGTATTCGGGACACTTTGACATTATATTCTACAGATAAAAATAAGTAAAAAAGTTCGTATAAATTTATGTCCTAAAGTGCTTCGTTTTGGAGATACAGGGTGTGGAAGTATCCTTTTTATTTCGATTTTTTCCCAATAACTTTTAAGTTATCGATCGTCGATATTTGGATAAAAATTGGTGTCTGGGTGTTTTTTTATATGATAAATTTGATTTCGATGTCAATAGACCAACTTCTAAGGACGCCACCTACATATATTTTAACTGGTTTAAAGAGTAATAACTTTTAGTCCGTACATGTATAAAACTACCGCGTGAAAAATATACAATCCACTATTTTTTACGCAAAGAGGTCTCTCTAAAAAATTCGCTACGAGTAACCGATCTCAAGATATTTGAAATGTAAATTATCAATAAACAGATATTTGATTGATATGATAAATTAGGGAACTTTTTTTAATTAAACATAATTTTTTCTAGAAAAAATTATGATAAATCCCTTACTGTTGAACCTCTGACACAAAAACCTTTCAAATTTATGATTTCAGTCTAATAACTATTTTGTCAACATGTTAAATTTTTGTCAATGATGACACGATTTTCACCAAGAATTTTACGTAAAAACGACGTATATGGATATTTTTCACTCAGTAATTTTATACAGGTACGGACAAAAGTGATTACTCTTCAAACCAATTAAAAATATGTAAGTGGCGCCCTCTACAAGTAGGAGTGATATGACATCGAAATCGAATTTCTCATGTGAAAAAACTGCCAGATACCAATTTTCATCTTAATATCGACATTAGTTAAATTAGTTGGAAAAAAGCGAAATAAAAATAAAACTTCTACACCCTGTATCTCCGAAACGAATTCTAGGAGACACATTTATAAGATTTTTTTTATTTTTAATTAGAATATTCTGCCGAAGTTTCAGGATTTGGTTGCAGTATTCGGACCACCCTGTATATTTACAATTTCGTTAAGGTACAAACAACAAAACAAACAAACAACGCTTTATTGTACAAAAAGACAAAACAGCTTCATCGACAAAGCACTCACAAACAACAAAATCACAAAAAAATACAAACAACAAAAAATACACAATACAAATAATACAATTCAAAAA